AATTCTCTTAATGCCTTTATCGCCCTTGGGTAATTAGACTTTGCTGTTTTTTTTTAATTTTAAGGTTCTCGTGCCAAAAAAGCCCGATTCATCTCTAAACCTCGACTGGCCGACTAATTTGCCACACTATTCTTATGTCAACTTAGCTTCTACAAGTTTGTTTGATGAAGACGGAAGTGAGAGGTTTGGTGATGGAATGAACACAGATAACCATATAGAGGAGGAGGTAGATGAGCCATCTCTCATCCAGAAGCTCTCTGGCTACGCGCACACCCACATCGATTCAGACTCATTATGGCAGCCGCTTCGCCTTCCATATTCAAGCCAACCATTAATAAAGCGATTTCGCTCTCAGCAATATCGCCTGGAACAGCAGCCTTCACAAAAGTCTTCTGGGTAATTCTTCTTCCTAGAATATGACATGAACTGACATGTGGAAGATCATTTAAGTTTCATGCCTTGTTATTTATGTCCCTCCATTTTCCACTTATTTCATTGTTCCTGATGGATATGTCTGTTCAAATAGCAAAGAAAAATCCCATATAATAAGATTATAGCCACCCTAGGTCACTTAAGTTGAATTAAGGTCTAAAAGTTAATTTTTTCCACAATAAAATGAGTAGGTCTCACGATGTAATTGGTTTTTAGTCCGCCTGGCATCCCAAAAGACACCATATTGCTTAATGTTACTCGTAACATCATGTTAACCCCGATTTGATGCTCACGACCTGGTACTGGATCCCGTTAGGCGTGTTGATGAGTCTTAGGCGATGTTGAAACTGCAGTTAACTATGGATAAGATTCTGTGAGGATTGGCTAATTCAACCTATTGTAAGAAGCCTTAACTATCAGTCCTTAAATCATACCTGGTCACCTATGCTTGTTAGGTTCTTATCTACAATCTAGATTTGATTGATTAGATTTTATGATTGGAACTCAGCCTGAACAGACTGTTTTTTATGCTTTTTGGGACATCTAACCTCACAACTTCCCGATTGATCATTACTCATCCAAAAATATTTATTCTACATCCTTAGCTAAACATTTTAACTGTAGAGCTTGCTCATTCTAATAATGAATGGCCTAAACTCAC